AGTTTTCCAGCTTTTAATTCCCTAATTCTCTGAACTGGCATTTCTAGGCTGCTGCTTTCTAATTAGGCAAAGATTATCTCTGAAAAGAGAATGAGCAACTTCTGTGTGCTAATGAGAGGGCCTGTATCAAAAAAATCTCATCCATATAATTTGTATTTTCATAGAAACTAAACAAAAAACACACCAGGGCTGTTGGCGAAGAGGACCTTAATTAAAATGATTACACACATGGATGGGTGATGATGACGCACATATCTGTTGTTCCATGTAGGCTATGTACTGGTGGTTGCAGTCACTTGAAAGAAATCTTATTCATAATGTAAAAAAAAAAATCTACATTAGTGTCTTCAAAGTATAATCATAATAAAAAATGTATAAATAAATCATTTTTAGACTGAACACCAGAATCAACTTGATTGTTTTATTTAAATATAATTGATGCATCATTAAGAGTGACTGGTAGTGTCACTTTCAGTCATTACTTTGATGTATTTACCTTTACTTAACCAGGCAAGTCATGAAGCACACATTCTTATGTACAATGGCAAGGTGCAGAAGCCGCTTGAGGGATAAGGAGCGGATGATCAGGAGCTACAGTGTCTGATGACAACAACCAACATCATTATCATCACGACAGTTAAACTGTATAGTGAAATGAGGGGGTATATAGGAGACTGTTGACAGAGTAGTAAATGATTCACCCAAGTCATTGAGGTGTATGACTTCCTCAAAGACTGTTATTCCACTGTTCAAAGACAATATATTAGGATGTGCCTGAGACATCACAAATCATACTTTTATTTTACTCTTATAAGTTTATGGAACATTTGTGGCACATTCAGACAATGCTCTGGGACCGTGCGTGACTTGGAAAATATGACAATATGCTCTGATTGATATCAGGTGATCACTGATACAAGGCTGGTTTATGACAAGCAGTTACGTCAACACCTTAAATGCCTTCGGGAAAAAAAAAAACTATACCACAAACTCAAACTAAGACCTGCCACCCAGGTGTCTCCCAAAACCTATTCCTATTGTGACAAACCAGCCCTCCCTCTGGACCCAACATGGAGGTGCGGCAGCTTCACAGGCTCACCTGGGCTTGTGCTTCGGTGTCGAGCAGCTGGAAGCTCCGGAGCCAGACGCCGGGTTCAGAGTCCAGGTGGGCGTCTCCGTGGTGCAAGGCCCCCAGGCAGAGCAGCCTCCTCACCCTGGCCCTCAGGCCCCGGGGCTCCAGGCCGCCACCGCCGGGGCCACAGAGGGCCAAGTGGGAGCGCATGTCCCCCCACCGACTGTGTGACCCTATTGAGCCGCTCTCAGGTTAAATCGCTGTCATGTCCATTTTTGAATCTGTGGGAGAAAAGTGTGCCAACACGAATAAGCAATGTTGTTCATGGTGTTAAATGTTTTTGTACTTCCTTTTTTTTTTTACATGTTTAAATTGGATTTACAACAAAATAGTGGCAATCTCGAAGATTTCCGTTTAGTTCTCTTTGGCCACCATTCATAATGTGGGCCAAAGCCTCAATCCTATTGGATTACCTCATTCGGTGATAGTGACCTAACAGACATTTATTTACATGAAAATCTTAAAGATTATTACTTTTACGGTAACAATAATATTGCAGCTACAGACAATGTCACATTTCACTAGAACATTCTCAAACAATGACCTAGATCCTATGTAAAGGAAACGATTGTGTTGACAACTAGATACCATGAGTCCCCAGCACAATACAAATTCAACTCAGTGGAAGAAACGTAACACAACCTGTTATTTCAGCACAGAAACCATTTTCCTTTAACTGGCTAGTGGATACTTAAAGAAAACACCAATAGTAGACTTCAGTAGAAATCACAAAGCTTTCATACTGGCCCTCTTCTAGTTGATACTAGAGCAGTTTTCATCCACTTAGTAGTTTCCAAACGTTGTACATTACCATACGGCTACCAATCAGTTAGCTATCATAATAGCAGCCATTACACAGTCGTTTAAACAAAAAAAAACACAAAACGATTCACATTCACTTTAAAATGATTCAGGTCAATCTATACTTCACCTTTTTCCCCAGCTTGCATCTTCAGTTGTGTTGAGTTGTCCTGAACACCATTTTAAAGACAGACCGGTTTCTTACAGTCCTGCCGGCCGGACCTGCGGGCAGACACTAACCTGTCTTCACTGAGCGCCTGTATTGTCCTGAGGCTGGACGAGGCTGCGTGCATGTGTATTGGTATGTCCCCATCCCAGTTGGCCTCTCGGCGCCCAGTTGATTATGTTTCTGTCAGGTTGGATCATTCCACTTCAATGCCCTCTTTATCTCAATAAACCAACACAACTTTTGTCTTCTTTTTCTGAACTGGAACTCAAAGTATACCAGCATTACCGGTTAATCCCTCTGCTGTCTGCGGAGTTGTTTTGAACACTTGATATTTGCACGAAATCGGAGTGTTTAATTTCGGTTTTGATGATGACGATTTATGTCATTCAATGGACGATGTGATCGTTTGATTCGCACACAAATCAGACATAGGCACCTACCTTACATGCGACGAGGCCTACGCTTAGCTAAGCTACAATGCTAACTTCGTGTAATTGAAAGCGGTGCCGTCCGTAAAATTCACGTTTTAATGTTTTACTTTACGTCCTGGAGCAGAGTCAGAGGAAATAATATGGCCTAACAGGGATAAACCATGATGATCAAACCCCTGTCTTGGCCACTGGGATACGTCGGGATATTCAAAACTGCACAGGTGCATGTCGTGACTCTCATTGGTCAATTACTTGACGTGACGTTATGAGGTCCTATACACCCACTCTAAAGCCACACAGAATCAAGTCGAACCGGATATACATTTTCTTTCTTTATTTAAGTACATTGAAAACAATACAATTCAATTAAAATGAAATAGAAATCAAATAATTAACTAAATCACACCTCTACAAAAACGTGTATGTTAATGTCAAATAGCATTAACTTCTATAAGGGATGGAATATTTTTTTTAATTTGAATTGGCTTATTTATCGAAAGGATCAAGAAATGTTTATTCATTGTGAGAAATTAAACACCCAGTCAGTAGACTACAGTCCTGACTTTATCGTCTTCTTCTTCTTCTTCTTGGTCTTGGAGTCAATGGTGAGCTTGGACTGACGCTTCAGGGCCTGTGCATGTCTTCAGGAAGTTGGATGTGATTGTTGTAGTCTGTTTCCTTCTATCCTTGTATAGAACTACTCAACGCACACACACACATGTTAAGACTTCAAGAGTTGCGAAGTTTCAGAATAATGCCTTATATTATAGTATTTTCAGATGTGAAAGACTACTGAAATACAGAGTGAAAAAACACTGCATTTACCACTGCATCAAATGAATGCATTGGTACTTAGCTGGGATGCTAGCCTCTGGACCAGCAGAGCATGAAAGCGTATGAATTGCAAGGTCAGCTCTAAGATTATGTTTTGAGGTTATGCGACTGACACTTTTAGATAGCTTTCTAAAAATGAACCCAACCCTAGAGTAGCCAATGTCATTAATAAATAACAGGGGCTTTGACGTAACTTTCCCACCACAGGGCTCTGGCACGACATGTTCGCAAACAGAATAGGTTCTGCAGCTCTGTAACAATCAAAAGACAAACAGCGCAGGTAGATCTAGGTGGCTAGCAAGATAAGATGGCTAGCTATATATTATCCAGACGTAGCTTTGTCCGGTGATGCTTCTGGTTAATAGCGTGAGTGGCAGGCTCCAACCCCCTCAAAGTCAGTATTCACCAATGTTGATGATTAGCAAAAATGCTAGTCAACGCTAGCTTCCCAAAGGCCAGTAAAACAATATAAGACAGCGCTCTCTCTCCTCAGTCTGGTATCGCTCACCTCATCCTCCTCCATCTCCTTTATGAGTACAGAGAGATCCTTGCCCTGGAGCTCGTCGTGCAGCAACTTAAGCTTCTGCTCACACTGGGCCAGAAGCTGCACCACAAAGTCCTCAGAGTCTGGGGACAGCTGAGCCTCGGCCCCTCACTCCTAATGGGACAACAGCGAGCAGACAGATGGGCACTTTGAGGGCTTTAGTTGGTCATCAAACGGACAATGTATTCATGTTGGCTTAATAAGAAGCGACATATTATACAGCAGAACAGAACATGAAAGCTGTTTATACATGGCAGGCCACATATACTACAAGGTCCCAATTTGATTTGATTTCCGATTCTTGATTTGGTTAGGGATATTTCAGTTACAATACGAATTTTGCTCGGATATTAAAGAGATTCTCAGAGAAATAATGCTGTCAATTGTATAAGGAACCCTCTAACCTGGTGCATTATTAAAAGCCAAGAACCAAAGGCTGGCCACACAAGACTAACAGGGTGAAAGCTTCAAGCATCCACAGGAAAAGGCATATATTATAAGATCGATCTCAGGATTTTATGAATTGATAAAGGGTCATTCAAATGAAAGTCAAATGAAAATGAAAATCCCTCCCCAGGATCCTCTCCTATGTGATGGTGTTAGTATCTTCTAACCAGGGTGATGTACTGGAGCTTGTCAGCCAGGTGCTCCACCCCGGCCTGGACAGTGCCCAGTGTCTTGAGCAGCCAGTCCAGGTGTTCCTTGTCTGCATTGCAGCGCTGCTGTTCCCCCTGCACACGCTGCTCATGCGCCCTCAGCGTGAGAGCGAGAAGAGTGAGAGAGAGAGAGAGAGAGAGAGAGAGAGAGAGAGAGAGAGAGAGAGAGAGGCAGGGATAAAGAGAAAGAGGGAGTGACAGAGAGAGGGAGTGAGAAAGTGTTGGATAAAGAGATATCAGGAAATGTTGCATGAAGTGTGTGTGTTGGATGAAATGGAATTTGTGACAAATATCAATGCATATTTTAGTGTCATTTATGTGTGTGCATAATGTGCTGCATGAAATAGATTTGTGTAAATGTGAACTCAACAATTAAGTCCTGAATTTGTTGTGAGCAGTTTCTTTGACATCGTAGGACACTCAACAGGAAACCAGGTTCCACTGAGAGCTGAACTCAGATTGCTGGATTTAAAGTCCAGAGTGCTAACCATTAAACCATGGAACCATTATGCACAACAAATGTAAAGAGACACTTCATAGTAACACTTCATAAAAATACGTCAATCCTGGAGGTCAGTGAACTGCAGTAATGATTCTGAAACTTGGGTGAATTCATGGTGTCCATAATCCTTGGGAAATTTGACGAAAGCATTGGTGGTGAGCATAGCTGCCTTCCAAGCACTTGATCTGGGTTTGATTCCTAACCAATGCATTGATCTTTTTACCAATGCCACAACGATTTAAGAAGTTGAAGATTGGTGTGTTGAAGATATTTTGTGGTAAAGGACATCCACATAAACATTGATTCAAGTTCAAGTTATTTATTAAAAGTATAAAGTTATGTAGTGTGTTAGGAGTATACAGTGCAGTAGTGGTAAGTGTGCTGTGTGTGTCAGAATGTCAAAATAGAATAGTGTGTGTGCAGAGCTGGCCGGAGACCTTTGAGGGTCCTAATCCAAATTTGGTCTGGGGGCCCACAACATTTTTTTTGTGCGCTCGCAAAGCATGCCCTGCCAGAGGTTTCTATGTGTCTGCTGGCACCAGAAGGGCTCCAAGTACATACAGTACATTTGAAATACTTACTGAAACATCCATATTAAAGCTGACTGACTGCACTTGCCATTTTTACTTCTTTGTTTTTGTCTGAATGCTTAGTGTTGAACATTTTTACGGCATTAACTGTGTTTGTCCACTAGGCGGCTCTAAACCTGCAGTATTAAAATATCTTCCCTTTATGTAACAGAAAGATAAAAGACTCTACAAAAGATTCTAGTTTGATTTAATATTTACATTTTATACATTATTATCTATACATCAAGATAATTATTGGGCACAGTATGAATGCCCATGTAAAGTGCAAAACAACTTCAATACAACACAAATCACTACTGACTCAGTCAATTCAGCAAACGATGCATGAGTTTGGGGCCCCTAGCGGGTGCAGTGCCCGTAGCATCCGCTTAGTTGGCTTATAGGGCGGGCCGGCTCTGTGTGTGTGTGTGTGTGTGTGTGTGTGTGTGTGTGTGTGTGTGTATGTGTCGGGGGTGATTTGTGTAGGAGTATCGTGTACCATTTGCCAGATGGTAGCATATTGAACAGTTTGTGGCTAGGGTGGCTGTGGTCCCAGAGTATACTCTGGGCCTTCCTCCTACACCACCATAGGTCCTGCATGGCTGGCAGCTCAGTCCTGGCAATGTGCTGTGCAGTTTTCACCACCCTCTGTAGAGCCTTGAGATCAAGGGCGGTGCAGCTGCCGTACCAGGCGGTGATGCAGCCAGTCGAGAGACTCTCGATGGCGCATTGATAGAAGCTGCAGAGTATCCTGGAGTCCATGCCGAACCTCCTCAGCCTGTGGAGGAAGAAGAGTCGTTGTCTCGTTGCCTTGGCGATGATGCCAGTGTGCTGGGACCAGGACAGGTCCTGAAACTACTGAGTTGCTCGACTGCAGCCCCATTGATGTGAATCGGGGTGTGTTCTCCTTCCTGCAGCTTTCTGTAGTTCACAATAAGTACCTTTGTTTTGTTGATGTTGAGATGGAGGTTGTTGTCCTGGCACCATGATGTCAGGGCTCTTACCTACCCTCTGTGGCCGTCTCATCATTACCGGGGAACAGGCCATGCAGTCGCGTGTGAACAGGCAGTACAGGAGGGGGCTGAGCACGCAGCTATGGGGGGCTCCAGTGCTGTGAGTCAGTGTGATGGAGGTGGTAGTGCCCATCCACACAGCCTGTGGTCTGCCTGCCAGGAAGTCCAGGATCCAGCTACACAGGACTGTGTTGAATCCGAATGATGAACTCTGAGGGCACAATGGTGTTGAATGCTGAACGACAGTCAATGAACAGCATTGTTGTGTCCATAAGGTTGGCGTGGGTAAATGGGAGTTGAGTTGAGAGTGGTGGTGTGGCAACCCCGGGGACCAGCGCCAGGGCTACTGCTGGTGCCTTGATCAAGGGCACTGGCAGGAGTATTACCATGTATGTCTTTAGTTGTGGGAGGAAACCCGAGCACATGGGGAAAACCCACGTGAACCCTCCTCCTCTTCCCCCTACACACACTCACCTCCAGGGGTGTTTTTAGCACATGAATTGGGGGCTGAACCCAAAGATAGGGGGGTCCGGGGGGGGGGAGACATTTCTGTGTACGCTAACACGGGCCTCTCTTAGTGTACACTAACACGCCAGCCGTGTTAGTGTTTTTTTGTTGAAACAGCCTGGATGGATGAGCTGGATGAACACCAGACACTATCATGTGGAAATGAGGATCACTCTTTTAGTGTGCCAGACTGTCACTGTGATTAAGGGCTATACAAATAAAATAGACTTGACTATCTGTGATGGTATCGTATCTCGTTTTAAGATTAAGGTGTTGGGATGAACTAAGGTCCTGCCCTGAGTTTTATCTCTTTGTTATTCTGCTGGTTAACAGGATGCCTTGAGAAAGCACACATCTGCCTGTCAATTTTCCCATGAGCCTGTCACACTGTGTGCCGACCTTTTAATATGTTGGTTCATATTGTTAAAGACAGTTTATTTGTGTATGTGTGTGTGTGTTTGTGTGTGAGTGTGTGGATCTGATAAGGAGATGGTCAAGTTCATGCATCTAATGAAACCCATATGTCTTTCAAAGACAATGGGAGAGGCATCCTAAACACAGGAGGGGCTACTAACATTAGATATGGGAGCGTAAACATCCCCCACAAACAAAGACTGCAGAGAAGGCTCTGACGTAACCCAACACTTCACATGCTCTTCTGTACAATAGCTATTAGATGGTCTTAAATGGATACACACTTTAGCCCAGGATTAATATGCAATCAGCTGATGGTACCCAGCTGAGGGCTGCAATGAAGAGGATGGCTTTTAAATGGCTTTACTTTTAAAGGTGTTTTCTTTTAGTAGTTGCCAAGTACAACATATGCAATGTAGATGTCTATAACGAGAGAAAGGGAGGCATGAGAAAATATTTGCAGTGAAAACAAAGTAAAATACTAACAAACACTGATAAAAATAATAATGATAATAAAATTAAAATAAACATAAAATTAAAATAACAAAAGGGGAAAAAAACAAAATTAAAAACCCATGTTTTTACAATGGTACACAATGAGATGGAGGACAAGAGAGTTAACGGTTTACTGTTACATTTCAGCACGTAAAGCTCTACGTCATTCATAAGTCTGAAGGACAGGGGCTGGGGCTTTTAAAGGTGTTCCATGGACCTGGCCTCATCAATATCTACCTCATGAAGTGCACAGAGAAGAGCCGATGGCCCTAAAGACCAGGAAACAACAAGAGTCAAAACGGATTCAAAACAGCAGCAACACTATGCTATGGCTAGGCTATGACTGCTGCAGTGTTTTTCCCCAAACCATAGAGAAACAAAATTGAGGGCTGCTGTAGTCCACTTGGGGGAGCTGTAGCGCCACAGGCTGGCTGTAGAAAGTCATCTCTCTCTCTGTCTCTCTCTGTCTCTGTCTCTGTCTCTGTGTGGTGTCTAAGGGCCTCTGGGACCTTGGGTGAAGAAGTTGAAAGAGAGGGGGCAGAAGGGTGGGGGAGGAGAAAAGTCCTAAGTTTGTGCATGTATTACTTTGCATATGGCAATGTATTCATAAAATGGTGTGTGTGCGAGCCCGTATGTGTGGGCAAGTGTACAGTGTCCCTACTGTGACTTTATCTCTCACACAGCATCTGTTGCGTGCACACCTGCTGCTTAGCGTTGGCAGATAAGGGGGGGGGGGGGGGGGTTGCAATCGGCCGATCCGTCTATTGCACAAATCAAGTGGAGTTGACTCATGGAGCCATTTAGAACAATTCAGCCTAATCTATCCATCTGTCTCATTCTGCTCATCTCAATTTTGCACTGCAAGCGCCTTTATCTCTTTCAACTTGTCCTGGAGAAGTTCCTTCACTTTAAAGCCTTGTCCACTTCTGTCCATCAATACAGTCACATGTTTAAAATGAAACATAACTTACTTTAAGATATTATTTAAATGTTATCAATGTGTCCATCCTGCGGCAACCACTTGTCTTGCGATCCACTCATCGGCCCAAATGAAAAATCATCAACGTGTTAACGAGTTATTGGTAATCGGGGAAGAGCGTTGAAAGACTTCTAACGTTTCCAACAGATGTCATGTCTGTGAGTTGTCTGTTGCCTGTGAAATTCAGTGATTTGGGTTTCTGTCCCTTAGTATATTCCCTTAGTCCCAACTTGTTGTTCTGCCCTCAATATCTATAAAGCATCAGACTACTGAAAAAAAACATCTTTCATTGTATTTGCACAAATGTTCCAACTCCCAATTTCAACAAATTCACAAATCACGTGTGTCTGTGTAAAAGTATGCTTGTGCGTGCATGGTTCATTTTGAGTAATGCATTATACCCACCTCTCAGACTGCAGTGGTGCATTCGCTAAGCACTTCACGTCAGCCTACCCAGAATGCACTGTGACTATCTTTGACCTCGAAGATTAAAGACACCAGAAAAGCACCAAGCCTGGTTGTTGTTGAAGAAATATAGGCCTACAGTATACCAAATTAAAAAATGTTTCCAGTTGAAAATCAATGTCACAAGTTTGAATATGATAATAACGGATGTTAGTCCGTAAATAAGACAGCCTCGGTGTCTGCAGCCATAATATTCACGGTGGGGTGTTAGCTGGGCGGCTGAAATAATAGAGCTAAATTGGGGAAAACAATGGCGATCCCCAGTGTGTCTAGCGGGCTACCTGGCGTGTCTAGCGGGCTACCTGATGTGTCTAGCGGGCTACCTGACATGTCTAGCGGGCTACCTGATGTGTGTAGTTCCCATTTTGGCGACTGGAGTCGAGTCCCACCACGTGTCGAGTCCCCACTCCCCAGCTCTCCTGACCTGCAACACACTGTACCCGTCGAGGGCCGTTCCTGGGACCGTTCACTTTTTATTGATGCCTATGTTGCCCTCTTGTGGTGAAATTAGTGCAGTGAGCGCTTTGGACTGCGAAAACTATTATATAATAATCATTATAA